AGGAGGTTTGGTGGCACCTGGAGAAGGTTTGGTGGCACCTGGAGAAGGTTTGGTGGCACCTGGAGGAGGTTTGGTGGCACCTGGAGGTGTGGTGGCACCTGGAAAAGCTTTGGTGGCACCTGGAGAAGGTTTGGTGGCACCTGGAAAAGGTTTGGTGGCAGTGGTTGGCCGCCGACTTCGCCCAGGAGAGGAGGTGGAAGAGGGGCGTGGCCAGGAAGGTGGGCACCTGGCGGGCACCTGGGGGGCACCTGGAGGGGGTTGGAGGGGGGTTGGAGCACCTGGAGGAGGTTTGGTGGCACCTGGAGAAGGTTTGGTGGCATCTTGAGAAGGTTTGGTGGCCCCTGGAGGTGTGGTGGCACCTGAAGAACCTCTGGTGGCACCTGGAGAAGGTTTGGTGGCATCTCAGGAGAGTTTTAGCACTTGGAGAACCTTTGGTGGCACCTGGTGGTGTGGTGCCACCTGGAGAACCTTTGGTGGCACCTGGAGAAGCTTTGGCGGCACCTCAGGAGGATTTGAGCACCTGGAGAAGGTTTGGTGGCACCTGGAGAAGGTTTGGTGGCACCTGGAGGAGGTTTGGTGGCACCTGGAGGTGTGGTGGGACTTGGAGAAGGTTTGGTGCCACCTGGAGAACCTTTGGTGGCACCTGGAGGTGTGGTGGCATCTCAGGGGGGTTTGAGCATCTGGAGAAGGTTTGGTGGCACCTGGAGAAGGTTTGGTGGTACCTGGAGGAGGCTTGGTGGCATCTCAAGAACCTTTGAGGACACCTGGGGAAGGTTTGGTGGCACCTGGAGGTGTGGTGGCACCTGGAGAAGGTGTGGTGCCACCTGGAGAACCTTTAGTGGCACCTGGAGGTGTGGTGGCATCTCAAGGGGGTTTGAGCACCTGGAGAACTTCTGGTGGCACCTGGAGAAGGTTTGGTGGCCCCTGGCGAAGCTGTGGTGCCACCCGTGCCCTGTGCCGGTGCCCAGGTGGTGCGGATGGTGATGCGGCACCACGAGGAGCAGCGGCAGCGCCAGGAACGCGCCAAGCGGGAGGAACAGGCCAAGCTGC